CTCTTTGTATGTGACCTAATTTTTCCTCCTCTTACTATTTAGGATCTTCTCTTTACTTTTAGCGTTCAACATTTCATAATGATGTGTCTTGGGAAACAGACTTTTTTTCATTGGTGTCTTTCAGTTTGAGAAAATTTTCCTTATTGTTTCTTGTAATTTTCTTGACGTTCTAGGTTATTTTCTGTTTTTTTTTTTCCATGTCTCATATATAAGCGGGAAGTAGGTGTTATCTTTTTGCCTTTATTTTTTTATATTTTTATTTTTAATATAATAGTTTATTTTTGCATCATGTTGTGTTTTTTCCATCTCAGTTGTAATGCCTGTGGGCTTCTCATCACCAAATCACCTGTGTGCCATCACCATAGTACAGTATACCACCCACCACCCCACTTTTTATCCCATTCCCCATCCCACCCCCCTAGTATATAATTAGTCATTATTTTTACCCCCAGTTGTTTGCCTTTATTTTTATATCTGAGAATGTTTTTGTACATTTATCTATTAGTGTTACTGAAATTTAAAAATATTTGTAATAATTTCTTGTTTTATTCCTTAGTATCTTACTCTGTGGAAGCATATCTTCTCTAAAGGTGTCCACTGTAGTTCTTTTTTCGTTCTTTTTGAGGTTTCTAATCTTTGTATTGCTTTTCATGGTCCCCCTTTTTTCTCTTTGTTTTGGTCAATTTCTGAGACTTAAGATATGTTGGGATTTAAGATGTGACCTTTGAAAAGCATCTCTGAAACCTGGTCAGAGTTTTTTGGCTACATTAAATATAATTATCCTGAGAACTAACCTTTGGTTAGAATATTCTCAAATGTTGAAATTGGAAATCTGGGGAATGGGAAAATTGGCCATTTAATTTTTTCAGAAAAGACTCCTCCGCTCTCCTGCGTAGGCCATTTTATATCTGGGTGCTATCATTGTGTGTATGGGGTAGAGGAAGGAGACAGAAGGACCCAAGAGTATCTTAGAGCCTTTCCCTTGTACCTCATCTCACCCTTCTCTACCTCTTAGCCCTCAGTCTGCAGCTTCTGTCACTTGATTTTTTTTTTTTTCCCCCAGAGTAAAGCTTCCTTTATCGCTGTGAGTGGAGGTAGTAGTGCAGGTTAGTCGCTTATGTGCATGAAGTAATGGAGAAGACCCACCCCCACTACAATTCATTCCTCCATTCCCTGGTATATTTTTGTCATAGCGTTGTGGAAACAAGCTAGTGTGTACAATATTATGACTAAATGTTCATAAGTAATGTACTCCTTTTCTACCTTTCATAGTAATTGCCTCTCCCAGAGCTCATCCTATGGGAATTCTGTGGGGCTGATTAGCTCCCCCCTCACCTTTATTCCTTTTGGGCGCTTGGGTGATAACTTCCTTTTACTCTTCCACCTCCTGACTACCTTTGAAAATTTTAGGAAAATGTGAGCTTATTATAATGCTCTCTCTTTCTCTTTATTTTAAAATATATATTCATTTATGCATACAATTGCTGGGGTACAGGCCGGGGGTGGGGGGAGGTAAGAGGATACACCAGAGACAGAGTGGAGAGTAGAACAGGCAGATCTACTGAAATGAACTGCTGAGGTCTGAAGACAAGAGAGGTCTGTCATGCCATGTGGGTCAGCTCCCTGGCCATGGTTTGACCCGTGCTGCAGTGGCTGTGGTAGCTTCCAAGTACTAAGCTTTAACCCTTGAAGCCCCAGAGAGGCCTCTCTCTTCTTTCTTGTGGGTTATTACATTTATTCTTCAACTGTCTTTCAGAGGGTTTGAGAAGGGAGAAGAGATAAAATAATGTGTCTGATCTGCCATTTTTAACTGATCTTGGGACATGTTTTTATGGGTAAAGTGTTTTAAATGCCTGTCAGATGGTGACTAGTATTATCAGTGCTTTTCTTCAGTTCTGTAGTTACATAGGTATCTGTGGACTTAACCTGGAAATATTGCTATGTCTGTGATTTTTTTCTGAGATCTAGAGAGAATGAAATCTTTTAATTGACTCTGAAGAAATTATAACAGACTAGAACAAAAATATTTCATACATCTCTCCATTTTCCAAGTTAGATAGAAAAAAATGCAAATACTATGTCTGCATCTAAATAAAAAGCTCCAATAACAGTTACAGAAACCTGGGTTTTAATGGATAAGTTTATTTTAAATAAAATTGAGCTAAAAATTGAACTGAAACAACAAAATTAATGTTTTCAGCAATATCCCCAAAGCTTCATTTTTTAAAAAGATTTATTTTTATTTATGCATACAAAAGCTGGGGTGCAAGAAGGGGTGAGAGGATTCACCAGAGACAGTGGGGAGCAGAACAGGTGGATTGACTGAAATACACTACTGAGGGGAACAGCAAGCAGGGGACAGACAGGAAGGGTCTGCTGGGCCATGTGGATCAGCTCTCTGGCTGGGGATCTAACTCATGCCCAGTGGCTGCAATAGTTTGATAGAGCTGAGACTTTAACCCCTATGTCAGCAAGGAGTCCCCTAAAGCTTCATTTTCAGTAACTTTTTGGAGAGCAGTTTTCTTTTCTTTTTTTTTTTAAGATTTATTTATTTATTCATACAGAACTGGGGTATAGGCCAGAGATGCGGAGGGTGAGAGGATTCACCAGAGACAGAGTGGGGTGCAGAACAGGCAGATCAGCGAAGTACACTACTGAGGGGAGCAGCGGGCCGGTCAGGAGAGGTCTGCCACGCCATGTGGTCACCTCCGGGGCAGGTGGGGATCGAACTCATGCAGAAGTGGCTTAAGCTTCTTAGTGCTGTGCTTTAACCCGCTGAGCCACCAGGGAGGGCCCTGGAGAGCAGTTTTCTTAATCAAATTTAAGCCTTAATGGTAGCTGTGGGAAATAGCAGTAGTTATAGAATACTTGTTTACTTGTGTTTTCTTATTCCTACCTTGTATGCCGCAGGATTTTTTGAGTGAATAAACTAGACTTAGTCAGATCAGTAAAGCCATTTTCCTGATCATGAAAAACTTAAAAAATAGCTGTCTAGGGCACTTGAGTAGTGACAGTGTGACCCAGAATATGTGAAGACACAGGGTGATTGAGAGTAAATCCTGCACCCAGATTTTGAATGGAGCCCTCTGTCCATGACAGATGCACTGCAGTGATATGGCACCAACTCCCAGCCTTCAGGAAGGGGCTTTGGGCCTTTACTCAGAGGATCACCCCTGTTTCACTGGGGCAGCTTTCCATGAGCATTTGCTCCCAGTCTCGAGGGATCACAGACCATTAGGAAAAGCAGGGGTGGTTGTAGTTTATTATGTGGCTGGACTAAGCTAAGGGCAGTGAAATTCAGGCAGTCCGTTATTTCATTTCTTTTAATTTTTCTTCCTCTTCATGAAAAAAAAAAAATTGTCATTAAACTCTCCGACTTCTCTCCTCTCAACCTTGCTTTTGACAGAATATTGACTAGGAACCAGAATCCCATTTTTGCTTAGCCTTTAGGGCAGCTGTTTACAGAATAGCAGTGTTACATAGGTTTACTGTGTCGTATGTCTGTGTAACACTGGATTTGGATCTTGTATTTAGCTGCCAGAAGTGACTGTGATGAAGTAGGAGAGATAAACTGATAGATTGGCTGCCAGAAAGATGTTGGGAATCAATCAGATAAACAGGGTAGAGAAATAGCCTGCTGTTTTCTAGTGATAATAAACCAGTGGCCTGTGGTCCCCACATTTTTAAACATAATTGCTATAGTAATAATGTCCAAAATAAGCAAATGAAAAAATTATCACTGGAGATTTTTAAATTTCGATTGATGTTCTTTTCCCTTTTCCAATAAAGATTCATCTTATATGGAAATGAATATTTTTATTCATTTGTTTTTATTTCTTCCCATGCCTACTTACATAAACAAATGAAAATTAGAGAGTGAAGTATACTTTCATAGGAATTTATTACTCCTTCTATATCCTCCCACAGACTTCGGCTATTTAACTTGGTGAAATATCTGTATTGCTTCATGCCGTACCTACAAAATAATTATTCTTTGTGAAGAAACAAGTTTTAAAGTCAAGCCTATATTATTGACGGATGATTAGCAAGAACTAGTTTATTTTAGTGTCTTCCCTTAGATTTCTCTCAAAAGATCTTTGGAGTTTTAACCTTTGCTGCGATTTTCCCTGCATATAGCATTTGGATAGGAGAAATACCTAGTTTTATTGTAATATAAAATACTCCTTTAATGTTTAACTCTTAAATTCATGGCCTTTTTTTCTCTCGGACTTTAATATCCAGTGCAGATCCTTAAGTCTGTGTGAAAGATACAGATTGAGACTTCATGCAGTGAAGTACCTGGGGTTAAGAGGAGAATAAAAGAGTAGTTTAGAGTTCCCATGGAGTTAATTGTATGGGATGAGTCTGGTTCTCAGTTTTGTATCTACAGTGTGCACATAGGACTTCCTTTAGGTTCCCTTGCAGAATTATGGATGTAAATGTGTGGGTGTCATCTATGGTATATGTGGTAGAATGCCAGCTATGGAAAGCAAGAGGATGAAGTTCACACTTTTAATTATATGTAATAAAGGCTTTTGCCTGAGGAAGACCTTCCTCACTGTGGGAGGTTATAGGTCAGAAGTTAACCATGTACCACTTTCCTATTGCTAAGAAGCGGATGCATTTTCCTTTTTGCCACAGAGACTTTCCCACCTGACCTTTTAAAGATTCTCCATTGATATCGATGAGGTGGACAAAACTAATCATAAAAACAATGAAGGGAATGTTGCACACTCATTGATCCTTTTGAAATGAACTGCAGTACAATAAGTCTTCCAAATGGACTTCTATTCTCAGCTCCTCCCACAGCCACCATTTTACAGATACATAAATATGACAGGGTTCATGAGTATTCGGGCTCTTGCCACTGTGTTGTCCCTTATTGATTGTGGTTTTAGAGCTGTCACTATACCATTCAAAATTCCTACTGTGCCCTTTTTAAATTCAGGAGGTGCTGGGAGATGATAAACAAACCAGTTGCTTTCCTTTCCTTCCCACAGCTCCTTCGAGAACTCATAGAACGGAAGACCAGTTCCTTGGATCCCAATGACCAGGTGGCAATGGGAAGGTAATGGAGACATCACTTTCTTTTCCTGCAAGCAGCCATATATAATATGATTCCTCTTTGAGTTCCCTCAGTCTTGCCTCCAAGGCAGTGATTGGCCCTATAGTTACAGAAGTGAAGCAGGATATAAGAGTTAGAAAGACAAAGTGATGGAAATCTGAGTTGTTTACCCTACATTGCTTTAAATATAACTACAAGCATCTACTTAAATTATAAAGCATGCATTTATATATATCTGTGTTAGGGTTTTTTTGCAAAGAGCCCAGGTCTTTCTTGGTCTCTTTGCTTTCTGGTTTGGGTTGTGATTGTATCTGTATCAGTTCTGACCAGTGGATAAAAAACAGCCACCCACGTGTGCTCTCAGCTGTCAGAATGTGGCACTGTGCACAACAGGTTCCTTGCTTGTCTTCGAGTCCGCTTTGTTAGAGTCTGCCCTAATCTAGACCTCCACCCCTCCAGTAAGAGCTTCAGCACAATTAGAAATGGAACGCGGCAGCATTACGCAGATGTCAGGGTAGAATGTAAAGTAGTGAAGGAAGGCTCTTGTGTGTATGCTTCATCCTGTGGTTGGAAAATAAAAAGGGCATTTAGAGTGCTACCTAATGAATAGTGTACATTTAAATAGCTATGAGCCATAATTTGCAAAAGCATGAAAGGAAACAAAAGCTGCAAGTGCCAGAGTGGGATTCTGGGCAGAGCGGCATTTTGAGAAAGCCATGAAAAATTTGTGTTGATGAAATAATTTTATTTGAACAAAACATTAGAATTTTAGGGATAGGATATTGTTGATATTTTGTGTATTCCTGGAATGCTATGGAGAGCTGTTGGCTATAAATTTAATGTGATAGAGCAAATTGCATTTAAGTGGTGATTATATTGTACATTTATCTGACTGTACAATAAAATAGATTATGGTAATTAAGATTATATTAAGATTACAGTAATTGGATTTCCCTAGATTTTTTTTCCCCCTATGTTGAATTTTCATTGTATAAGTCAGGTAAGATGACTCGCTGCTGCTGTTTCTTTTCTTTTTTTCACATATTTCGTATAAGCAATTTATGGAGCTTTTTTTTCACCTGGTATCCTTTATTTGAAAATGTAATTCCTTTCAATTTAAAATGACTACAGAATATGTAAGTCTTGTTTGAATCCTGATTTAAACAAACCAGCTGTCAAATTGAGACTATCTGAAAATAGGTGGCTGCTGTAGGGGTTTTTGGGTCTCTGGGGGTAAAATGGGCAAAGGGTGTCAAATCTGTGGGTGTGGATGGAAACTAGACTTTTAGTGGTCATTATGATGAAGAATGTACAGATGTCAGTTTATAATGCTGTACAACTGAAACATGCAATGTTATAAGCCAGTGTTAATCTAATAAAACATTTTTTATGGGGCTTCCCTGGTGGCACAGGGGGTTAAGACTCAGCGCTATGAAGCTGTCAGTAGCCACTGCTGCATGAGTTTGATCCCCAGCCAGGCCTATACCCTCAGCTCTTGTATGCATAAATAAATAAAAAATCTTCAAAAAAAATTTTTTTTAAATATTGAGACTTGGAAATTTGAAGACTGAATATTTGATAGTGAAGGATTATTGTAAATTTTCTTAGGTGTGATAAGTATTTCATTATTAAGATTTCATTGGGGAGAAGTGCCCTTTTAGCAACACATCTGAAACATTACAGATTAAATAAATGACCACAAAAGTGGCACCAATAGTAAATAGTTAAAAAAAATGGAAAGCATGAGAAAAAGACTTGGGCATTAACCAAGAGAACACGACTTAAAGAATTCACATGTTCAAACAGCAGTTGCAGTAATAGTTATACAAGCACTGCCTGTTAAGACATTAAAAGCGATCCTCAGCAGCTTGACTCAGTTTGATGGGTTTTCCTACAGACTAGTAAATTTAGTGCTTGTCACAGCAACTCCATATACTAAGGAGCATTGTTAACCAAATTTGCTGTAGAATTTCCCCTGCTGCCAGTTGTTTTTTCACCACTGCACAAATCCTCTTCAATTGATTAGTCGCTGTGGTTCTTCCCTATCTTGAGGAGCTAGATGTGGGTTGATGGTTTCTTTCTGCAAGGTTGTAAATGAGAGAAATTCCAATTTGTCAATATGTATAACTACTTCTGTTAGTGATGATGCATAACATTTCTTGTGAATTTCCCAGACAGTGGCTTGCAATCCAGAAGTTACGAAGCAAAATCCACAAGAAAGTAGATAGGAAAGCCAGCAAAGGAAGGAAACTTCGGTAAGTTACTTTTTAGACATAGTTTTAGACTGACATATTTTCTATCTTTTCTTATATTTTGCTATGATGTCATTTTTCTATTCAGATTATTCTGTTCTTAAGGATCAGAAAAATAACAAACAATATTTGAGACTTAACCTTGATTCAGTTTTTCTTACTCGAGCATGTTTTAGTTATTTTTTGTTTTACTGTTGTAACTGTGTTAAGCCGTACCAGCTTTCTCTGAAAGACAAATAGTTGAGATGTCTTAATTTTAAAAATAAAAAATTTCATTTTGCTATCTTACTTTTAAGAGTAGGGTTGTATTAGTGCATTTTCAGGATGCCATACGTAATATGCTGAAAGATATGAATGAAAAGTTTCAGGGAACATTAATCTGCTTAAATGAGATGAGAAAACAAAAATTTTATGAGAAAAAAATTTCTGACTGAAGGAAAAACCCTAAACTCTGTGAATTCTGCAAGTACTACTGTAAGTATGCCCAAAGGAAGGAGCAAGGAGTAGGAATTGCCCCTACTATGCTTTTAAATTCAGAGAGAGAGAGAGAAAACAGTCATACAGCCACAGCAACATGAGTTCCATCCCCGTCCAGGGAGCTGACCCACAAGGCACAACAGACCTCTCCTGTCTCGCTGCTCCCCTCGGCAGTATATTTCAATAGACCTGCCTGTTCTGCTCCCTGCTCTGTCTATAGTGAATCCTCTCACCACCACCCCCCCAACACCCCACCTCTGACTTACACCTCAGATCTTGAATGAATAAATAAATATTTAAGGAAAAAAACCTTACTGCCAAAGATGCTGATTTTAATTCAGGTTCATATTGAATAAAATTTTAAATTCATTGTGTTAGGGAGTTTTATGCAGACAGCCAATCCCAACTCTTTATTAGAACCTTCCCTGTCATCAAAATTGCCTTTGGACAAATGTGGGTCTATCTCATTTTTAAAGTTCTTCACAGAAGCAGATTTTTACAAGTACTTTAATTAACCTGTCATAATATTTATTTAACAAAACTCATCAGGAAATGCTGCTTTTTCTTTGATTTTGCAGTGATCAGAGTGGCTTTTTATCATCTTTTGATTTAGAGTCTCTTTCTTAAATCTGAGGTTAAATTGTTATGATTTATTTAACTTTTTTCATGCAATAAACTCTTTCCAAGTCTTCATCCTTTTCCGGGTTCATTTTTATTTTAATGGCTAAGAACTTGGACTTGAGTCAGTGCCTGAATTGTTTTGACAATGGGTAATAATTACTTTGGGCAAGACCCTTCAACTCTGTGCTAGTTTCCTCACCTGTAAGATGAGGGGATAATAGTATTAGATTCGTGGGGTAGTTGTGGGGATCAAGTAAGTCTGTGTAACTCCTAGCACAGTGCCAGTACGTGTACGAGCACTGTGTACACACAATGTTGCTGTTACTGCTGTCATTATTGGCCATATTAGTGTTTTAAAATAGGCCAGTCTTCTAGGGGCCATGCATCTGCTTGCTCATGAACATGCTTTGTGTGCCTGTCCCTTCTGTGTCCCACCACGCAAGGATTTGAAAAATGCTAATAATATTTCATAATTGACTGAACTGGATGAGAACCTTTTTCTTGAGTTTTGAAATCAGATTTTTCTCCAGTACTGTGCTTTGAAAATTAGAACTTTATGAGGCTACAAATGTTCTCTAAAGGGTGGTGCCCAGGATTTCAAATCAAGACACCTGGGTCCAAATCCTGTCTCCAATTGACTTTATTATTTTGTCTGTCCTTTATCCACTGAATCTTATTTTTCTCATTTCTTAAATGGGAGTTAATAATCCCTACTTTATAGATTTGGTTTGAGGATTGAAATAATGTATAAATGTCTGGTATATAGGATTGAGGATTGAAATAATGTATAAATGTCTGGTGTATAGGAATTATTTAGAGTCAGTGGCCTGAATATCTAGCTGTTGGCAATTGGCTGTTGGCATTGTTGCTGCCGATGTGTACCCTTCAAGAGACTTGAGAGAAGGGAAAATGCCTTTTCTACCTTACAGTTAAGAATTTTTACTGCTAAGAAGCATTGGGGCAAGTAGCTATATTTATTTGCCCCTTGAGGACAAGAATTGTGCTTTGTCCTTTAAGACAGTCACAACCTCATTACTGCAGTGCCTTATAGACATTAGCTAGAAAATGTTTTTGGATGATTTGATAGTAAAATTAACCTCATCAGGTAATGTGAAATGGTTATCATTTTAAATATAAGGAATCTGGATGTATGTTAGAGAAATAAATTCTTTTTT